CCCCAAAACCCCAAAACCCCAAAGGTAGTGATTTTTAAAATATTCTGTAAAATTTTGTTAATAATAAACTAAATTATTCGTACTTGAAAATCATCATATTTAATTATCCTTATAGAGTAATGTTATTTCATCTAAGAATGCCTTTTTAGCATTGTTTCTTTTAATCTTGAAAGTTGGAGTAATAAGGTCGTTATCAACAGTAAACAAGGTTTGAGTCAGGATAATTTTCTTGATCTTCTCTAAACTGCTGAAGTTACACTCCTTAGCTTTAGCATCCATCTAGGCAATAATGGCTTTCTTTAGCTCTTCATTTCTATACAATTCTTCCAAATCTTTACCATCGATTCCTACAAATAAAAAGCGTTAAAATTATATTTATCTTTTTAAAAATGTTAATTACCATTCTCATTAGCCCATTTTCTAGCTTGCTCTGGTTCAGGGACAATTACAGCTAATAGATAGGCTTAGAGTGAGTCTCCATATACAAAAATGAATTATATTAATGGACATTAAATGTAAGCATTCTCAAGTTTTTCTGGAGCTATATACTCGCCTTGACAGAGCTTGAAGATATTCTTTGCTCTATCAATAATCTTAATGGCTCCATTTGGAAAAACAATGGCAACATCGCCTGTACTCAACCATCCATCTTCATCAATTGCCTCTTTAGTCTTCTCTGGATTCTTAAAATACCCATTGAAAATATGAGTTCCTTTTGTTTGAATTTCTCCTCTAGGAGGATTATCAGTGTACAAATATCCCATTTCAGGTACATTCCTAAGTCTAATCTTGCAAGTTGGAATGAGACCACCGACATGACCAGCTGTGGGATCAGTTGGCAAAGTAACAGTCAATGGACCATTCGTCTCAGTTTAACCGTAAACCTCATAGATATGGATACCCATGGCAACTTTGAAGAAAGTCAATACCTCTCCACTAATTGGGGCAGAGGCAGTGATAATAGCTCTCATATTCCCTCCAAACAGGTTTCTAATGTTTTTAAAGACCTTGTTGTCGTATAAGCAGTGCTTGAAGGTACCTTTTCTGACAAGATTTTCAGTCTTTGTTTTTACAGCCTTGTGAAACATTTTTTGCTAGAATTTTGTCTTAGTTGAAACACCTTCCATAATTTTACCATGCACTCTGTTCAGGATACGTGGAACAGTCGAAAAGAAGGTAGGTTTTAAAGTTTAGATATCCTCAACTAACTTTAAGGGATCACCAGAATAATAACCATGAGAGTAACCTCTAGCAAGAGAGAAAACGAAGGAACATTACTCGAAAATGTGGGCGTAAGGTAAATAAGAAATTGCTGTATCGGTCTCTCTCAAATTCAAACCAATGTAGTCAACTAGATTTTAAGTTCCAACGAATCCTTTATGAGACATCTTTGCTCCTTTAGGATCACCTGTGGTTCCTGAAGTGTAGCAAAACATATAGATAGTTTCTGGTTTTGGAGTCTCAAATTCAAATCCTGTGACGCTCTTTCCTTTTTCAATCACATCCTCATAGCTGTGTAAGACTAGTCCAGCCTGCTGTGCTTTCTTGCTTTATTCTTCAGTCTTTTTTTCAAAGATGATAATATTCTTAAGTGTCGCACATTTAGGAGCACATTTTATTAGATTTTCAAAGCCAGACTTATCAACACACATAGATATAAGTTCTGTCTGATTAATAACGAAGGACAATGCCTCAACTCCTAAACTATCAAAGAACGGTACAATTGTGACAGAAGATCTCATGCAGGCAAGATCTACAACTGCCCACTCTTCTCTATTCTTAGCAAATATACCCATAAATCTGAAATTTTGACCCTCAGCTTAAATAACAGGACACAAACCCATTGAGAGCATTCCTAGACATTTTATTCCAATTAAATTTTACATACCTCTGGCAAAGTTTTCCTTTATATCATAGATCTACTGGAATGTTTTCCATTCATAAGGTCTTCCATCTTTATCATTGTTCCTTGTACCAAGGAATCTGAGTTGTGAATGCCTTCTCATAGTTGCTTCATATAACTCAAGAATGGTTGTACAGCCATTCCATTTCGCTGGAGTTAATTCATCAGGATGCTCGATGTACTATTGACATCTATAGATTAAATTTTATGATTTAATCTAATTACATTAGCTCTGGAGAATGAGAAGCGTCTCCTGGCTTATCAGTTCTGAATGATGCATATGTAGTTTAAGGTAATGAATTTCCCATTATCGCAACAGATTAGTGGAATAGAATAGTAGATATGAATAAATTTAATATAATGATAGTTTATTCAGATACGAGTGAAATATTATTGATCCAACTTACTGGAATAATAAAAAGAGAGATTTAATATCTGAATACGATTATCTTATAGTTTCTAATTCTTAAGCTTTCTAATCCTATCATATCTTAATTCACGGGGTTTTGGGGTTTTGGGGAGATCGGAAGA